AAAGAGTGTGAGACCGCCAGCTGCGAGACCTTGCTTCTAATCCCAGCTGAGCAATCTTGAGAAGATTACTTCCCTTCCCTGGGCCCCTGTTCTCTCAACTTCAAAACAAGGGAGTTGCACTGGTCGATCACATGACCAATTCTCTCCTGTGTCCCGTTCTCTCCGTTTTCAAATCTATGGAGCCCTGACTGGGAGATGGCATTTATGTTTCTCTCTCTCACCCACGCTCCCTCCAGGGGAGGAGCTTACTGGTGACTTCACTGGCCCATGGGCTGTGGGCAGAAGGGACAGGGTGCCAGTACTGAGCAGAAGCTTTGAGAAGCACTGCAAGTTTCCACCCATACTCCTGTGCTCCTGTGCTTGGCTAGAAGAACACACCCCAGTAGTCCCTGCTCCATTAGCCTGGGCCCCAACATGAGGAGAAGGCCTGAACCCAATACACAGTCAGAAGCTAAGTCCAGCCAAGCCCAGCAGAACCAAACCATCTTGCAGACCCATGAATGGGACATAAATGCTTGTTGTGAGACAGTACGATTTTGGAGTTGTTTGTTACTGCAGCCAAAGCTGATCCATACACCACGTGACAGGAAAGCATGTCTCGCAGATGCGCACACCAGGGACTGATCAAAAGCCTGCCTGAAGGAGAATGAAGGGCAGCTGGAAGGGCCCCTACAGGAAGGCTTCCACTGCTTCCGCTTCCATGCCAGAGCCACACACCTCCATATGGAGACACACCTGGTTTTTGGCATCAACAGCCTGTGCCTCAGCAGCAGTAGGAAAGGAGTCTGGTAGGAGAGGGAACTAAATTAGAATGCCTCAAAGTCAAATTCCTCCCCATCCACAGTCCTCTCTCTTGCACAGGCCTCCAAGCCTGGGTGGTCTGTTTCTTTCACTGCCTACAGGCCGTATTTAAAAGGCTATTGAACTTAGGGTGGAGGTACTTAGGGTGGAGTTTAGCCAGCAGGGAGGGGCAGCAAGATGCTTAGACAAGTTTACAAGTTCCAGCATCACTGGTCTCTGGCTGCTGTAATCAGTATGCAATTCTCCAGGCCTCTCTGATTCCCAGTATTAAAGGACCCCAAAGAAAATGAACACCCTCTCAGCCCAGTTCTAGCTAATAGATGTTTTCTTGCCAAACAGAGTAGTGTAGCATATTTGACATAATACACAAACTGATGTGCGGCGAGGACAAATGTGGAACTCTGGTACTCTCAGTGCTGCAGCCTAGGGGCTAACCTGAGAGGTCCAGGTTGGGGTGTATGACCAGGGCTTGAGCACGCTTCATTCACTCAGAGAAAACCGGGGTCATTCCCCACCTCCTCAGTCACTTGGATGAAGACTTCAGAGTTGACAGCCACACTCATCTGTTGGGAAAAACAGAGAGCCCTCCACCAACCAACCTAACATAATGGAAGAGGAGGGAACGTACATTTGGGAATGGTGTAAGGGAACAAGCAGGAACGGCAGTGGTGGGTTTCCAAACTTTTGCTAAAACACTGAAGGTTTTAAAACAAAACCTTACCTGGAACAGACACATATATAAACAGATGAAAGTGCAGAAGCTCAGGGTGAAGCAGGGGTGACGTTTCAGAGCCTGTCTGTATAGCATTTTATTCTCCACTCCTCAAAGTGGCTCCTGAAGTTGTGTGTGGAACCCCAGAACTATATACACTTTGCAAACCACTAGGCTAGCGAAAGCTTGGGCATTAATAGGCTTAAAGAAAGCTGGGGAAAAAAGGGAGCAGGTATCATCATAGCTGTTTCTGGGCATTTTGCTGTGAAGAGAACGGAATTAAATGTATAGGCATCCTTTGTCATGACTTGGCAACGGTGGTGCACACAACAGATAAGAGGCCTTCCACAACTTGCTTGAGGCAGGTGGACTGACCAACCTACCTTTCTCAGATATTTTTAGGACAAGGTTCCTTATTCTTATCTTCAACTGGGAAGGGCAGATTTGCTTGGGAAACACTTAGATCTTCCTCGTTTGCTCTGCTTCCTCCTACTCTCTACTCACCCCTCAAATCTAAGCCGCTGGCCCCTCCTGAGCTCACAGGTCTCAAGCCTGGTGCCACCTCTGCTTTGACCTTCAAGAGGGAGGGACCCTGAGGGATATGTCTAACTCATCAGTACGCAGCTCCCCATTTCCGGTAGAGACCAGCCCCAGACCCACCTATGCACACCACATCCATGAATCCATACATCCCGTAGCAGATCTGGAAGAGGAGGTCTTGGCGCTGCCATTTTGCTGAGGGGCTGAAGGTCGACCAGATGAGCCAAGAGATACTGGCGATGAGGAAGAGGGAACCCAGGATGGCAGCTGCGATCTGAACCTTCTCAATGACTGTCAGAGAGATGGCCTGCCACTGCAGAGAAGAGAACAGCGGGTTAGCGCTTGCTTGGATGCCCTCACCCCACGTCCATCCCATTCTCATCCGTCCTCCTTCTGCTGCCCCAACCTCTCGCCTCTGGATTTAAGCCTGGGCTTTCCAACTTGTAATGCGATGGCTATTTTTGCAAGTTCCTGAGGCTGACACTGTGCTTTTGATGTGGAGGAAACCTGTATCACACTAAATGATCAGAAGTCTTTACAGGGAGGGGGTTCTGGGCAGGCATGGCTGGGAAGGAAGGCCTTTGTGGTTGATGAGGATACAGACAGAAAAATGGGAAGAAAAAGTGGAAATGCAGAGCGTTCCGGTCCCCAGAATATTCTTTTCTGAGCAACACATTATTTTCTCACTAACAGGTGCTGAGAGGGCACAGGCCTTTTTTTCTTTTTTTCTTTTTTTCACTTGTTTTCTGCAACAACACTTGGCATGTCATTTAATATACATGCTAGAGATGACCAATTCAACAGACAAAGAGAGGACACAGGATGTGGGGGACAGGTAAGAAAAACAGTATAACTTACTGACCGTACACGAACACTGAGATTTCAGGGGTTGTTTTAAACAGAAAAAAGCACTATGCTAATAGCAGTATTGATGGATGGGTTGAAGGCTAGGGTGTGGGTGGGTTTCCACTCCAAAATTCTATGAGTCTATGGCGGGTCCAGGTAGCATAGGCCTAGATGAGCCATGAGTTGGATTTTAGTTTGGAATTTATTCATACTGTTGCTCAGCAAATATGTACTGGGTGTTCTCTGTGTGTCAGGCATGCTGCTAGGTGCTGAAGACAAAGCAGTAAGCAAAAACATACAAGACTTCTGCCTTCACAGGGCTTTTCATCTAGGGAACACAGACAACCAAATCATTATTTACTACAGCAATCCATCTGGAGTAAGAAAGGGAGGGACATGGCATGTGAGAGCCTACGATAGGGGGTTTCACTTCCCAGAGGAAGCAATGAGTTGACTGGGAATTTACTGGGCAAAGAGAGGAGGGAAGCATGCTCCAGTAGAGGGAAGAGCATGTGCAAAGGCCCTATGACAGCAGAAAGCCTGGTGAACATGAAAACCTGGAAGAAGACCAGAGAGGGCGGAGCAGAGAGCAGGGAGTATGGGGTGAGACGACTGGGAAAGTGAGAAGGGAAGACCACGTGGGAGCTTGAAGAACATGCACAGATTTTTGACTTTATCATAAGAGTAAACATGATGCTCTTGAACAGTTTGTTTATTTGTTTGTTTTTTTGCGGTAAGTGGGCCTCTCACTGTTGTGGCCTCTCCCGTTGCGGAGCACAGGCTCCCGACGCGCAGGCTCAGCGGCCATGGCTCACGGGCCCAGCCACTCCGCGGCATGTGGGATCTTCCTGGACCGGGGCACGAACTCGTGTCCCCTGCATCAGCAGGCGGACTCTTAACCACCGCACCACCAGGGAAGCCCTCTTGAACAGTTTTAAGACGGGAAGTGACAGGACCAGGTTTGGGAAGGTGGAGGGAAGGACTACCTCCTGACTGTAGCAGTTTGCATAATGCCCTGGAGAGAGCATCTCCAGGAGGCATTTCAGGAGGCATTTCAGAACTCTCAAGGAAAGGCGGACAACCTTCCTTCTGCCAACAGTGAGCCCTCCCTGCACATTAAATGTCCTGGATGGAAGCACTGATTCTGGCTCCAGCCAGGACTGACCAGAGGCCCCTAAGGAACTGTAATTACTGGAAAACATTTTGCTTGCTAGTCTAGAAGTAGGACATTAGCCTTTGCACTTAATTATACAGGTCGCATCCCATCACAGGTAATTGGGCCTCTACATTTTCCACTCTCCAGCCTAGGGTTACACATAACAAAGGCATTTTCCAGAAGATGGCCTGATCCAACAGGCTCCTCTCTTAGACAACAAATGCTTCTTCCAGAGCCTGCCTCCTGACTGAGCTTTTTGTTTCCACCACTGTGACATCAATACCCTCCCTTTCTGCTCCAGATTTCACAAACCCCAAATGGAGAGGCACAGGAAGCTCCCCTTAATCCCTAAAGCCCCTTCCTACCAGCCCCTAAGCCCCCTGAGGAAACTAAACAGCGCTCCCGACTACAATTTGAAGCAGGAAGGAGAAAGAACAGGACGGGGTGATATGCACAAGGCTCTCCTGTGTGTCCGACGGGAGGCTCCACAGAGCTGCAAGGAGAAAGCAGAGGACAGGAGAGCTCTGCAGTCTCCCAGGGAGGCTGGGAAGCGGAGAAGGGCTCCAGAGGCACCAGGCTGTGCCACCGCCAGACCCCCAGAGCTTTGTCCCCAGTGAGATCCTGATCGCAGTGTCCTGAGACTCCTCCATGCCCTGCAGTGCAGCAAATGGAGAGACAAAGAGGAAAGCGCATGAAGACGGGATGATTCCTTCCTTACGACAGGAAGGGGAAGTGAGCAAGGGCCAGGCGACCCAGTCCTAACCCAGCTCTTCTCCAGCTTGTGGACTGTGACCTAGTAGAAGTCAATAAATCATCAAGGGACTTCCCTGGTGGTGCAGCGGTTGGGAATCCGCCTGCCAATGCAGGGGACACGGGTTCGAGCCCTGGTCCAGGAAGATCCTACATGCCACGGAGCAACTAAGCCCATGCACCACAACTACTGAGCCTGTGCTCTGGAGCCCGCAAGCCACAACTGCTGAGCCCGTGTGCTGCAACGGCTGAAGCCCGTGCACCTAGGCCCTGTGCTCCACAACAAGAGAAGCCACCACAATAAGAAGCCCACGTACCACAATGAGGAGGGGCCCCGGCTCACCACAACTAGAGAAAGCCCGCGCAGCAACAAAGACCCAACGCAGCCAAAAGCAAATAAATAAATAAATAAATTTACCAAAAAAATTATTAAAAAAAAAATCATCAAGACTTCCAAAAAGTGGAGATAGTTGGTCCCTCCTGCTTCCTAGAGTATTGTGATGGTTAAGTGAAATTAATCAGTGCTCTGAAGGGTACACGCTGCCATCATTTCTGTTCTTCATCATGTTTCAGCAGAAGTACAGCTAGGCATGTCAAGGTGGGCCTACTTATAACTGTACTTAGCAAACTCCGTGCTGGGCACTGCAGGGTAGAGGTTTAGGGCCAGACTCAGAAGTCAGAGCCCTTGGATGTAACCCTGCTCCACCAGGGTGACCTTGGACAAACTGCTGACTCCTCTGTGCCTCTACTGTTTCATCTGTAAACTGGGAATAATAATAGTGCATTGGGTTGTTTTCAGTATTAAATGTGATAGTGTATGGGAATACCTAGAACATTGACTGGTCCCCAGTTAGCACTAACTAAATGTTCATTAATATGATTGCAGTTCAGGTGTAGCAAAGAGGATGAGAAGCAGCCACAGAACCTTGAGACCACAAGGCTACCCTGAAATGCCTCCTTTCTCAAGGGGCTCTTTCTAGAAACAGAGCTTGCAGAGGGTCACTGAGATAACGTGCTGTCTTGTCCACTGTTTCTCACAGCATCGTGTGGGGCATGAACCAAGAGGTGAGAGATCTGAGACCTGGAAGAAACGTTCCTACTCTAACGGCAGAGGTAACTCCGGCACCCCATCCATTGCTCTGCTCGCTCGTGGTAGGGCCTGCCTGCTCCATCCTGTACCACAGATGTTCGGGCTCGCCTGGGAGAGCACAAGTTGCCCCACCATGGCTGAGCAAGCAGCCGTCTCACACTTGGCTGAGCCCGAGCCCAGGACATGCAGTTGGGACAATCTGGGCCACAACCACACAACACTGCTGCCAGTCCGGACTACATTCTTCTTCCGGTACTATCTGGAAAAGTGAAACGGCATTTACCGAGCACACACCATGGAATGCGATGGTCCACTCACAATCCACAAGTAACAGAATCAGAGAGTCTCCAGTGACTAAAAACTCACCGTTAAAGACACGGTAGTAACTTAAGAATAAAGCCATAGATCAAATTTGTCAGTACTGCCATCTGCTTACCGCACTTATGACATTAGAATGACCTTTACCCCCAGGAAAAAGTTATCCCTAAATGGTTCTTCATTTTTTGTGTCGAGGGCTGATTCCTGTTTATGAGCCAAGGGCGGGGCCAGGGGGGCACTTGGGGGTGAGCTTGTGGGGTTGGACTCTGACCCTTTTCCAAGGTTTGAATCAGCTGAGAAGGAAGGGAAGAGTTAACGCACTCCAGGGCGTGGAGTCAGCTCCCTCACGGCACTGCTATTTTAAGACACTTCAGGATTTTGGAATGAATGGCTAAAGATGGAACCAGCGCAGGGAGAGGCACTTCTTATTCTGACCCCTTGCTACACTATCAGGATGGCCGAGGTGCCTGGGGGCTCTAATGCCTCCTTCCGGAAATAAGCCTCCCCGCTGTTTCCAGCTGCCCTTCATGCAAAGATCCCATGCCACCATCACCCCCAGAGCACCTGCCCTCCTGGGGCTGCAGGATTGACTCCCTCCCACCCCCTCGGCGAGGAGGAGAGAGGCAACGGGTGCCAAGCTGCTGAGTTCCCACCCTCACTAGCGCGCTGGTTAATTGATTATGTGGCAGCTTACCTGGCTGACCGTGCGTTTGTGGAGGTATTTTCAGAAGCAAAGCGCTCTCTCTGTGTGTGTGCCTCGCAGGGGGAGCTGTGTGATTTGGAGGATTTACGACGTGGCGCAGGGCCTGCCAGCTCCTTGGGGGTGTTGGATGTATCCAGGCAGGGCGGGAGGGGTCGGGGAGGACGGTGGGGGAGCCCTTAGTTCTGACGGGTCCGACCCTGTGTGAATCTGTTTCGCAGAGCCCACCCGAGCCCTGGCCCCCCTGCCCTGGCCCTTCACAGACAGCTCTTCAGAGTCTCTCCCATTTCTTTCTTCCTTCTTTTTGCCCCCTCTTCTCTTTTCCTCTGCTTGCCTCTCCTGTCTCGTCTCCATTTTTCTCTAGTCCCTTGTCACAGGAAGGATGGTCTGTGGGCCAGCCACATCCGCATCATTCGATAGCTTGTTAGAAACACGGGATCTCAGGCCCCACCCCATGTGCCTGAATCACAGTCTGTGTTTTGACCAGATTCCAGGTGAATGACACATTCAAGTTCGGAAAGTACCACTGAGTCTCCTCTCTCTTTGTTTCTTCTTTTCCGCCCTTAGCTTTACCACTGTCTTTCTCCTCACCCTCCCACCCTATCTTTTTCCCCCTCCTGCACTCGTCTGTCCTCTGCTCTTCCTTGTTTTTTCCTCCCTCCTTCCCTTCCTCCCCTCTTTTCTTCCTATTCCTTTTCATTATCTTTCTGATTTCATCCATTCATTCAGTCATCCATGAGCTCACTTATTCTCTCTCATCTGATTCTCCACATTTCTTTACTTCTATATCTATTTCTCTCTCTTGGCCCCAGTCCCTTTCTCCTCTTCTGGCTGAGGCTTAAGAGAAAACACAAAAATTCTTTCACCCCCTCCTGCCCAGTTGCCATCCGCGGTCTCGCCCACCTGGCCCATATCGTTCTTTTTCTCCAAACCGCCCAGACTCTAAGGTGAAGTTGTCCTCCCGCCGAAAACCAGGGGGTGTGGGAAACCCCGGGCCGGAGCCCCAGCGTCCCAGCGGGCAGCCCCCCGTTGTACCTGCAGAGGGTTCTTTGTGCTGATGGCGATGACGTGGTACTTGTAGTAGCACAGCTCGCAGCTCCAGCAGCCCCGCTCGCTGATCCACTTGATGAGGCAAGGCTGGTGTGTGCACTTGACCGAGCCGTCGCAGCGGCACGGGCTCAGCAGCTCCCCCTGCAGGGAGAGAGGCGGAGGGTGGTGAGGCCCGAGCCCCACCGTCTGGGGGTGGCGCTGGGGGTCTGGCCGCCTGAGTGCTGGTTTGCCCCCGCCAGCCCTCCCTGTCTCGGGGCAGGCTTAGTTGGGAGGCCCCAGACACTAGCGGGGAGGCCTGGCCTCCAGATCCCCAGCTTCCGTGAAGTCAGCTAACAATTCTGAGCCCCCAGCTCCTACTCTGTACTGCCCAAGTCCTAGGGTTTCTGTGGAAATGAGTCGGGGGATTTCTGTGGAAGCCCTCTGCCATCCAAAGGGGGTGTCAGCCTAGACAGGCTTCTCTCTAAAGGCTCAGCCAGGGGTCTCAAACTCAAATGCTCTCAGGGCCAGACAGGCGACACAAGTGACAGAAGCCAGCTGGTGGAGATTAGGACGGAGTGGAGGGCCCAGACCCCAGTTACAGGGACAGCCATTATCAGCTGTACATGTGGGAATCTAGGTGGCACTTTTTAATGTAAAATATCCCCATAGTCAAATGTCAACAGCGAATCCAAGTTTTGAATACAGTATGTCGTGAGGATCATTTTGCCTGAGTCCGGAGCTCTGGTCCTGAGCTCTTGCACTCTTCTGAAGGACAGCCCATAGACACCCAGGTCCCCTCTGTGAAGCCTCTTGCCCCTGGTCCCAGAGTGACAAAAATATAGCAGGCAGGCCTGGATCCTGGGGACCTAGGAGGCTGGGCAGGTGCCCTCTCTGAAGGCCTGGGGCCCTCTGGGCACGTCCCTTGGGCCTGGTTGGGAGTGACTGGGAAGCCCAGCCTGGCGCAGGCCTCGAAGCAGGGAGGCAAAGACGGTGGCTGGATTTGAAGCCCCTTGTGAGTGGACCGCAGAGCTGGACTCAGTCTCCAGAGCACCCTGCGACCATACGTCACATGACCACGACTGAAGCCTGCATCTGCTTCCTGCTGGGCCTGATGCTGCGGCCCCAGAGGACCTCCTTGAGCCTCCCTCGCTGACTCCACTTCTCTCCTCTCCCCTCCCTTTCCCCTCTCTCCCCCTGTGTGTTCTTTTTCTCCCTCCTCACTCGGGGTCTATCATTTCTTCTTGCTGACTCCTGTCCACCCAACGCCTTCATATACCTTCTCAGGGACTTTAGCAGTGGGGCCCACCCAACTCCCCAACCTGTGCTCCCTTCTGACCTATCCCATGGCCTCCCCCTTCCTTACTTCCTATGCCCTCCCTCCCCCAACTCATCTATTTTGGGAAAATGTCTTCTGCCTCGCTCCTATCAAAGGACCCAGGAGCTGCCATGCACAGCCCCATTCCCTACTCCCCACGGTGATGTATTTGAGATACGGCCACTTAAGCCATGTCTCTGTTAGTTTGGGGATTTCACTATTCAGGAAACCACATCTTGTTCCCAACTTCGAATAAGCAGGCACAGGAGCTCCTGACCTATAAGTTACAGAGCTTCATTTGTATATTTAATCATGCTCTTGGCCGTAGACTGTAGAACCAGCCATTTCCTCCCAAGATGCTTGGAATCATCTTTCCCTTTCACTTCAATTCTATCATTCAAAGACTGCCCCTTGGCCTGGATGTGTTCTAGAGTGTCCTTTGGCACCTGGTATACCTTTGGCACCAACTGCTTCTCTGTCTTCATGATGGTTCCAAAGCCACCTCCTACAGGGAGTCATCCCTGATTTCTCTGGTTGAGTGCAATGCCTTGATCACTGAGGGCCTTATCAGCACAACCTTATGAGGCTCTCTGCATATGCCTGTCTACCTCCCAGAGGAGCCCTGGAAGGCAGGTATGGGGGCGGTCATTCATCTTTGCACCCCATTTCCCCAGCGCCTTGCTTATTCTCAGCAGGTCCTCAACAACCTTTGTGTTTGAGTGAGTGAAAACATAAGTCAGGTGTCTGCTCAGGTTTCCTGCCTGGCCCTTAGGAACGGGGATGAGACTGCCCACTCCATAAGAATGGGAACCATGTCCATCTTGTTGACCTTGGGACCCCAGCACCTCACTCAGTGCCCAGCACTCCCTGTATATACGTACAATGAAGGAACATGGTGGCAGAAATGCTCAGGGTGCCTCATCCCCATAAAGTCCTCCCTGGTTCCCCACTCTGATCCTCCAGTGTTGACAGGCCCCCTCACTGTGGCTGAAGGCCTGGAGCCTTCCTATACCCGCTGTGAGAGCACTTCCCCCACGTGTCTCTGGGTCACTACAGTGTGACCCTTTACAGAAGCAATATGTATCTTATATCCATCTTTGCACCCTTAGCACCTAGTACGGTGCCTGAAACAATTAGACAATCCATCCCACTTTTTTATTTTTTGTGGCCATGCCCCACGGCATGTGGGGTCTGAATTCCCCGACCAGAGATCGAACCTGCGCCCCCTGCAGTGGAAGCAGAGTCTTAACCACTGGACCGCCAGGGAAATCCCACACTCCATCCAACTTTAACAGTGCAGTGTGCACACAGCTGTTTGATGAATAAGAGGTTTTGCTCCTCTAGGCCATGGCCAGCCTCTGGCTCCAGGTGGGCAGCGGTGGCTCCAGGGAGAAAAGTAGAACAGGCAGGAGATGCCCACATTGCTGGGCACCCACCACAGCCATTGAGGCCCTTGGTATTGAGAAGCTGCCGTGTGGCTCTGAGAAAAAAATAGGAGGGGGAGGTTGGGGAGAGGTGCTGAGGGAGAGGCAAAAGCCCTCATTATTCATGGAAGTATTTCTTAGGCTGGTTAATTCTAAAGGATGAGCTGGGTTTGATTAGTCGGGTTGTTAAGCAGCCGTGCCAAATTGCCAATCAAGTAAGAGACATTACTTCCGGTCCCTGGCAACGGTGCCAAACAACAGCAAAGGCTGTTCTCCTTGCTTTCCAAACAGCAGCAGTGAGACAAGGGAGGAAGAGCCGCTGGCCAGGCATAACTGATAACAAGACCTGGGCTCTCCAACGTGGCTCTGGATGTGGGACCATCACTGGAGCCCCCGAGTTATCTGGAGAAGGAGGCAGCATGACCTGGCCTGGTCCCAGTGCCTGGCCACAGGCCGAGAGGCCAAAGGTATGCAGTTTCCCCTGGAGCTCCCAGTCCCCCACGCTTTCCCTTGGCACCAGTCAACCCAAAAGGCAGGATAGGGACTTGCTTTCGGTGCCACAAATATTAGAAAGCAAGGACACCAAAGCTGTTAGAAAAGTTTAACTTCGATGTAGGAGGCAATCCAGGATTTTAGAAAGAAGAACCTGCAGAGAAGCTGTTTTAACCTTGGCATTCACGTAAGTTTTTAATTTTATGATTTAGCATATTTTTATGAACATTGGGGAGGAGGGCCATAATCTTTTTTTGTGTTTAGGACTTCTAAGAGGCCTGAACCTGGACACTGTAGCATCTTTGACTGGTCAACCTCTGCTTCTTCAAGAAAGGAAAAATGGAAATGAGCCAATAGCCAGACAGGTTCAGGTTAGACTGAAGGAAGGTGTTTTTGCAGTAAACTCTATTAAAGGTTAAAACGGTGGAACGTGGAAATTGAGGTGATAAACATCTCTCCGTATAACAGAGACCCCTATTGAAAAGGTTAAATGACCACCTCAAGGTTACTCAGCCAGGGACTTCCCTGGTGGCGCAGTGGTTAAGAATCTGTCTGCCGATGCAGAGGACACCGGTTTGAGTCCTGGTCCGGGAAGATCCCACATGCTGTGGAGCAACTAAACCCGTGCGCCGCAACTACTGAAGCCCGCGCGCCTAGAGCCTGTGCTCCGCAACCAGAGAAGCCAACCAAAATGAGAAGCCTGCACACCGCAAAGAAGAGTAGCCCCCACCCGCTGCAACTAGAGAAAGCCTGCGCACAGCAGAAAAGAGCCAACACAGCCAAAAATAAGTAAATAAAATAAATAAATTAATTTTTTTAAAAAAGTGGTCACTCAGCCAACCGGTGGCATGGCCAGAATGTAAAGCCGGGTCTTTCTGACATCAGACTCTGAACCCGCACCTGTGCCCATGGGTCTCTTCTGTGGTCCAGCTCCAGCCCTTCCGCCAAGTCTCCCATGACGGCCAGCTACAGACCCATCTTCTCTCCCTGCGTCATCACCCACAGTTTGGCCCTTAATCAGTCTTTAGTTGTTTACTCTGGGATTTGGGGTGCTCCTGCATAACCCACAGGACTGGGCACGTCATAGCTGCACAATAAAGGTGCATTTACTGGCTGGACAGGCACCAGGGTAAGGCAGAGGACAGGGCCCTCTGGCCCAGCTCCTGAGGGTCCAACCTTTGGGCTGGAGGATTCTTACAGACTTGTCTGCAGTGTTCAGTAAACTCCGCAGCACAGAACAGCTCATTAAATGCAAAGGGCACCAGACACTTCCTCAATGAACAGCTTGGAGCTTTGGGGCCCAGAGACCACCCTGGGAATGACTAAGGCAAGAAAGACGGATCTTCTCTAATCCCCGGGCCCCCATGGGGCACAGTGTAAGGGACAGGTGAAGAGCATGGTTTTGGGAGACCAAGTCCTTAGGTTTAAACGCCTCTTCAGCTCTTACTGGCTGTGCAAACTTGGGCAAGTCTCTTAACTTCTGTGAGGCTCTGTTTCTTCGTCTTTCCATTGCAGGCAACTCTTACCTCCTCAAAGCCTGTCTGTAAGAATGGAGTGAGATCGTGCATGCAAAGTGCTGGACACAGAGCCTGGCCCAAGTAAGTCCTCTTGTGAAAATATTCCAATTCTAACTCTCCTTCCATAAGGACTTTAGTTTCATAGTTTTTTCTACTACAACTCTAATCTATGCTCCGACGATCAAATAGGTAAGACGGGAGCCATGCCTTAAGTAAAGGGTCAACTAAGCCTAGAGGGAGGTTGAGATAAAAGAAATGCCTAAGAGAGTCCACCCTGGTGAGGTGGGTAAGGGGTCGGAACACAGGTCTCCCTTCTGGCCCAGGACTGTCCTCTGTGTTACCAGGGATCACTGAGAGTGTTTGGGGGCCCTCTTTC